CCTAGAAGGTCCTGGTTCAGTTCTGAACACTCACATGGTGGCATAATAATCATATCTAACTCCAGTTCTAGGGAATCCAGTGCCCTCTTCTGGCATCCATGGGAACTGGCACACAAATACACACACACACACAGAAACACACACACATATATGTACTCATAAAAAGGTACAAAAATATAATAAAGACAATTCACATGAATCTTTATCTTCACATTTGTAAAGGGCTTATATATACATGTAAAATACATATTTGTATCTATTTACATATTTGTATATATGAATACATCTTTTTTTCCTCCCCATGAGCCCTCTTCAGACTCAGTCACCTGATGGGTAAGTATGTACCATCTACATACAGGTGAAAAGCAGACACAGAGGCAGAGATCAAGTGAGCAGCCTCAAGCCCACTAGTAAGGCATCAACCTGGGGCTTTGCCACCTAGGTCTTTTTCCTTTCAGAGACCCCCTGGCTGCCATAGGACAAGTTCACTAAAAAGCCAGCAACACCTCACAATCTACAGCTGCCAAAATTGCTACTCTAGTCCCACAAAACTGCCCCAGCAACGGCAGGAAATGCGGGCACTCCGGACTTAGGAAGCAAAGATGCTTGTAATTAATTCTCTTTAAAAGAGTTGGAAATCTGCTCTCCTGGAGGGACTTCTACAGCGGATGCGATCTGCTGTCTACTTATTGAGGACTGCTGTCAGAATAAAACCCGTAGTGACAGTTAAGGCCTTGTGTGAGAGAATATGTGGGTTCTAGGAACTTCTTTGAAATTCATTAATGTTTTCAGGGGAGAGGAGGAGCGATGGTTTGTGCCTGCTATGATTTGTTTCAAACTCACTTCCTTCCATTCTCTGAGGCCTCGTGTTATTATGGATTTTTAGTTATTTACTTTTATGTTTCATTTAAACTTCTTCTTCATTGTGATGTGCAGACTTTGGGTCTAGTTGTCTTCGGTACATGATGTTCTTTATTTCCAGGTTTTTTTATAATAAAGTTTATTTTAAAAATCAACTTTGAGTGGGCTGGAGAGATGGTGCGATGCTTAAAAGCAGTTGTGCTTCATGCAGAAGACATGGGTTCAATTCCCACAACCCATTTGATGGCTCACAACCATCTATAACCTCAGTTCCAGGGGAATCCAGCGCCTTCTGGCCTCCAGGGCACTGCATGCATGAGGCACACAGCCACACATGAGCACAAAACTCGACTTTAAAGCAACTTTTTTTCTTCATTTTTTTCTGATTTCTCCAGCAACATTTTCTTTGGAAGAAAAAAAAAACATTTAAAATTGAAGCAAATATACAAAGCAGAGAGGCTCTATCAGCCCCGAGCAAAATTAACCTTTCAGCCTTTCTCCTTCCAGTTATTTCCTGTGTGCATTTCTTCAGCTTTCCGTAGATAAGATTACAGTGTGTATACAGCGATACACTGCATTTCCCCTCATTCAATCTTTCTGGTGTGAACTTGAGAGAAGATTTTTTTTCCGATCCCCTTTAGCCCTTATTAGATGCAAGATAATGTCTTCAGGCAAATCGTTTGTGGATATCAAGCTGGTCTTTGGCCATAGGAGAGATGGCTCAGTTTGGTGGCCTAATGTCCTGACGCTGTAGTGAGGCTATCTGACTTTGAAGCCTGACACTGCTGTGTAACCTTGGGGAAAGGTGGCTTACCCTCCTCTGGCTCTTTTTCTTCGCTGTGAGATGAGGATTGTAGCTCTGATTTCTTGGGGTTATTCTAAAGACTAAGTAAGTAGATTTTAAGAGCTTACAGCAATGCCTGGCATGTGACGCATGAGCAAGGGATGACGTGTACTAGAGCATCCTTCTAGTTGGCCTCTTCTATGGCGAGACAAGGTTGTTTCCAAATCTCAGCTATTCTAAACGGTTTACAGTAAGTCATTTGCTATATGCATGAGAGGAAGAAAGATGAATTTGTATCTTACTGGGAAAGGACCAAACATCAAGAAGATATGCTATTCATAATTGATTTTAAAATGCAGAGGAA